GATCTACACTATTAGTTTTCATAAAAAGAAAAATTTTGAATATCATAATTATTATCTGGGAAACGTAAAAATGATATACCCCCCAGAGATTATTTCGTCCTTAAAAATTTTTTTTGGTATTGACAAAAAAAATAAATCAATATACAAAAATGTGCAGAATTTCATGCTCTATCTTTCTACACTATTGAAGTTGAAATCTAGGGGGGGGGGGTGGCAGATTTATGATCTTATCCGGCGGGGTCCTTTCTACTCCTATACACTTCAACATTCTCTTTCAGATCGTGTTTCACAAAAATGATGTTAGCACAATCCTCGTGGAATTAAAATGTGAAACACCGATCCATTTGCTTTCATCATAAATGAGAATATTTACCAACGTGTCTGTCACGGTCTGTGATGTTGCTATGGTTTTTGTGTGTCATTGTCAACGATGAAGAAGAGACATTGCTAAGAATATCTGTCATGTCTGAAGGATTCAAATTTCTACCCCCTATAATTCTACACTCCTTTTAGATCACGCTTCACAAAATAAATAACGAGTGAGTAGCAACAAGTAAATAAAAATGAAGCGACACAGTGCAAACAATCAAAAAAGTTTCTGTTCGCAATACGAATATGAATAAGACTGATCATTTCACTGATGATCGATTATTCTTGGAAAGCAACTAGCTTCTATTAGATATTATTCATTTTACGTATATCGTGCTAGCGTCATAAGCTAAACAAGATACATGAGTTTCATATTTTAGCCTCAATGGGATCGCCATGGCTGAGTAGTTACGTTGTTCGGCACGTATCCACAAGGTACTGTGTTCGAATCTCGGTACCATCAGCTATGTAATGACCCTGGACAAGTTACTAACGGCTGCTTGTCTCAGATCACCCATCCGATAGCATGCTGATTACATTGTCGGCATACAACATAGCTCCTGTAGCTAGTATGTGGTTAGTCAGTATGTATGAGGAGTCCAAGTGATTGAGCGAGAAGAATTCTGCATCATGCAGACCTTCTGTTCAGAGCTGCAACTAGCTATAGTTCCAGGAAAAATATCGGGCTTATGAAACTGTCCTTGGACAGCACCCTACACCGAAAGATAGCCGACAGGCAAAGGTATTCTTCTTCTTCAGTGAGGCTGCGCTGACAAAGTTTTTTATGTGATTAATACGTTAGTGGTATTGAAAATAATAAAATGCAACCATGCCTTGAAAACCAAAGAGCAGATGCATTAGAAAGGTTTCTAAATTAGTTCATTTTTATTTGAATTAATTTTTCTTTATATCTGATTGATTATAACACATGACCTGTATTCTATTTGATTTTAATAAAGCGAATATAGAGTAAAATTACTAATAAATTAAGAAATTTCACTTGTATTAGTTATGAACTTCAAAGCACAGATTGTGATACAAATTTTTGATTTTTACCTAGTTCGATTGGCAACATCATTGTTTTCATGGTAAACTGGTTTTTCACCAAACTAATCAGCACAAAATACTATATCATACAGGTTGGATTTTAAATCCTTTAGAAAATTTTTCATATTTTGTATTGAAATATTCATGGAACTAGCGGAGTATTTGTAAGTACTTATACAATCAATTGCACAAGTTCTAATTCTTCTACTGCTCGTAACGCGAATCACGAAAAAGTAGGATGTTCGTGTATATTAGCATATTTGTCCAATACTGGCATTAGAGCAAGTTAAAGTAGTAAAAGTTAAAAGGTGTTATTACAAACCTGAGATTGGTAAGAGCTTTCCGAATCTTTGTTTTTACAATAGCAGTAACACAAGAACTTGGGAATCTTATTTACTACCGTTTTCATGGTTTTCCACTGTTCCGAGGTTGTATTTCCCATGCTCAATATTATGCTGCAGATAATGGTGATTATTCCAAGCAGCTCAAGATTGCCTTCTAAAATCATTTGTATGGATCGGATTAAATATAACAAATTTTTAAATACTTAAGTAAAATACATACGAATCGTGGTGGACGTAGCCAGAATATCAAACTTTCCTCCTTTGCCTGTAATTACAACAATAAATCGAAGACCAAATACTTTCGTTAATGTTCGATAGTCTTTTCCATTCTCACGATACTTATTGGCAAATCTATTAAAAAAAGCAATGAGAATATGTTGTCTGATATATGAAGTGAACTTTGTATTACGGTACCGATAATTGCTGCCTGATGGTGATTGCTCATCGCCACCTTGTAGTAAGATGAAAGTGTAAGTAGGAAAACAATCGTCCCTTCCTTTTTGTGTATCAAGATTGCATTCCCATTCTTGTTCAATTAGAATGAGACCGCCCTAAAACGAATCCGAGTAGAAAAGATTAAATCCTCTCCAAAACAATGCGTAAATTTATGAAGAAATAGTTTCAGCCACCAGTGAAATGATATTCTCAAACTAAGGGCCAAGTGTAGAATATAATGACCTATCAAGAATTTGAGACAAAACTGGGCAAACCAATTCATGAGATCACATAGACATTCCGACGAATTAAGAATTGTTCGTTTTCAATTGAGTTTTCACACTAATCTCAGCTTTCAAAGATTGTAAAAATAAATCAAACGACAAAATTTTAATCAATTGATCAAAACTTCTAACAGAGTGTAGGTGTGCACAAGCGAGAAGGAATGACATTCATCAATTGCGTCATTCACACTTGACACTCACACCTATACCATTTTCCCATGAAAGTTACATGATTATGTTCAGTTTTGACGTTCCTTTTTATGCAATAGATCGTTTTGGAACTGGTTTGATAACTCCTTTGTGAATATCAGTATTCACTGTCCTTCAAAAACTAACTTTTATAATTATGGTTTCGTGATAGATCAAAAAGGTACAATGCAAAATTCTCAATCGATTAATATGTGTTTTCATTTCTTTAAACAAAGTCGTTACGTCGAATAATGCGAAATATCAAAAATATCTTAAAATGGTGTCGGCTGGGACATTATCGTCTTAGCCATAACTCACAGTAGAAAGAGGCCTCAAGGTACCGGAAACCATTAGAAGTCACTAGAAACCAATAGAAATTCCTTCAAATCAATAGATTCGCATTGTAATTCATTAAAAGTCACCACTAAACAGGTTATAAGATAAGATTCTGCTTCTATTGACTTTTTATGATTTTTATTGATTTTCTTGTTTTTTTCGATAATTTTCAATATTTCAAGCAACTGTGTTTCGTTTTTAATGACTTCTCATTGCTTTTATTAGATTCTAAGCATTTCCAATGATATCTATAAACATGCAGCATATAAACAAAAGAGGATCTTTTTAATGATAGAAATCTTTGAAACTTAAAGAAATCAAGGAATTAGTTTGTTAGAAGTCTTCTATTGTATTCTTCTTTTTCAGTTGCTAATACTTAAAGAGATTCCAAAAAATCGCAGCAATTTGACAAACTTGAAATGACTTTCTAGCGTTAAAATATACAGAAATCCCACAAGATCAGTCTTCATTGATTTTCACCTGAGAATCTTGGAAACTATGCATAGTTTAAATTAAATCTATCGATCAAAGTAACAATCTTTTAATTAAGTAAATAATTAGGAAAAGGTTCTCTTTCACATCTAAGCCATTTTTCCTTCTGAAGGCCGTTTGACATGGAGTGTTTTATAATACACGCCATGGTTTAGATGACAATCATTTGAAATAAGACAAATAAGTTAAAATGGAAATAAAATAACTTAACTGATCTTTAATGAAATTTAGAGGAATCTTTTCTTCGGTTCGCCGAGCAGTCGTCCTATTCCGCAATGTTGAATATTGCGGAATCAGTGCCTTTCAGTTCCGGGAATTCCGTCGTCGTATACCATACAACGATTGCTCGACACTGACCGAGTACCATTAATTCCCGAAATGCCCAGGAATTCCGTGCCGAAATTAGGTGGTAATCGGAGCAGTTAATCTTTAAGCACAACACCATGCGTGAGGGTGAGGGCATGACGCAATTCCGGATACGGAATTCCGGGAATTAATGGAACTCGGTGAGTGTCGAGCAATCGTTTTATGGTATACGAGGACGGAATTCCTGGAATTAGGTGGAACTGGTTCCGCAATGTTCAACATCGCGGAATAGGAAGTATTCTCAAATTCATTGATTACTTGTTCATAAAGTTCCGTTTTGTTAATTGAACCAGCTTGTGTTTTAAGATTGTCAAGAATATAACCAATAGAAAAGATTGGACATTTTTTACCAACTTCAGTGGCTGTGTTGAAGCGACACGATGGATTGAAGTTGTCATTAACTGTTCGTCTGAAATGATTACCAAAGAAAATTTGTAACTAAGAATAAAACAAAAAAAAATAGAATAAACTAACATTACGGCTTTAGCATCTGAGAATATAACAGCTGTTTTCATGAAAACAGTGAAGTTTCGCAAATTATCGATGTTGATTCGATACTGTCTGCAATAAAATTCTTCCTAGCACCATGAATTTCGACTGAACTTAGACAGTATCTTTGAGAAACACCAATCAAATCTATATGAAGCCGTTTGTATGCAAAATTCAGGTTGCCAGTTTGAATGTGTCAAACATATGACATTGGTGCGAAACCATTTCATTCGAAATCCACCCTTTTCTGACTTCTCTCCGAAAAATATGGAGATTACAGTGTAACTAATAATGACTCTATCATAATGGAAGGGAGATTCTTCATTTTTAATGTTAATCTTGCTTTAGGATATGATTCGCGAAAGTGTCAAAGGGTAGAAAATTGATTTCTGTCCAAAGTACAGTCTTTAATCTCTTTCTGTTGTCTCCTTTTCATGTCTGATACAAACAATCCAACGAGATGTCCAACTTTTAAGAGAAAAGTTGAAGCAGAAAAAAACATCATCAAGCGAATTTTTTATGTACACATATACTTCAAGATTATGCAATCTATGTATTTTCATTATGTCTAGTTGATTCTCTCGACTGAAAGTATGGTCTAGATATGCAGAATCTGTTCGTGCTCGTGAATGCGCGTTCGGGAAAATTTTCCTTTTTTACGGCACATTTTGCAGCTCTCGACCCTTATGTGAAACAAAATGTGTTTGCTTATGTGTATAATTCTGAGTTTGCAAGCAGGTGTAGAGATATATTTCAGAGAGAGCCTACAGCAGTTATTTGAAATGAGGTTTTTGATGCTAAAAACTCAACAAATCAGGTGTTTTCCTTAGTTGGGTCTCTATCAAGCAGCTCTTTTGGTGCTGGAATTCCAACTAATCAGATGCTTTCACCATTTTTCTCTCCTCTAATCAGGTGTTTTTGGTGATGGAATTTCAATCAAACATATATTTTTTTCAGTGTGATTTTAAACGAATTAAAGTTATCATGCTTGTAAGCAAGGTGAAGGTGAGTGTGTGTAACACTCTCTTACATTAACAGTTCGCATGTAAATATAAGTAACTGAAGCATTTGTATGATGAACTATGATGGCCTGTCTATTGGTGCTGTCTGTATGAACATTGTAAGATTATATAGAATGTTGTGAAATTGACCTTCAAGAAAAGTTCAATGTGTCACTGTAATAACCTAATAAGTTAATGATTTTCTGATAATAGAGAAGAGTTGCAAGCTTCTTTCTAATGAAACAAGTTCCCGGATGCAGCACACAGGTCTCGATTTTGACTGAATTTTCTAAACAATCTGTTTCACGTCATATCGATGAAAAAAAAGCTACATTTTGAAAAATCTATACCTTGGTGTGGCTACTCTCAAAAGTGTGAAAAATTTGCACAGAACCTAATCTAATGGAGAGATATAATGAGCAAAGTTTCAGATAAAAACTCGAAAATGTAAATTACTGACAAATCAGGTTCCCATTTGGAGAAAACAGGTGATTTGAATTTCTACAGATTTCCAAATTCCAATAGGTGTTTTCAGAATACTTTTGATTTCTTTTCTCTCCTTAGATGTTACAGAAGAAAGTTCGGTAACAATCAATATCTCGATCAGGACTCAACAACAGTATGAATCCTCTCGGAAATGTTTTAATCTATCGATCCTCTATCATACTACGGAACATGGACACAACATGTAAAGTGAACCCATACTGGTTGAAACACACTGGAGGAATTTGAATTATTGTTGTAGATGACTTTCCCAATATTCTGCAGAAATTAATAAAAAAAGTGCATTGTTTACGAAAATAAATCTTGTCTTTTCAGAATTCGCAAGAATCAAGTAGCGAAACAGTTGCAAAGATAATTTAAAAAACAAGATAAAATATTGAAAAGTTAAGAATTTGCCTCTTCCATCATAACTTCAAGGTTGGTCGCATTGTAAGCTTTCATATATTCTGGATCGACGTCAAAATAGAGTGGTATCTAATATTTATAGATTTCACATTAAAGTTTTCCATTTAAGGAACTCAATTTGACAGTCTAAATTTTGCGCGTGAATGACTTCACATAGATTTGCTCGGTCTGCAAGAAGACGCTCTCTTATGACAGACTCTTACGTAGACTTTGTATTTTCTAGAGGACACCAAGCATTGATTTCGCACACAGTTTTCGTAGTGTCTTCTGAACTTTTCACACATTGTCCAGTGAGAAAACCTGTGGAACAGTAATTATTTTAGGTATGATGAGACTCTTGGAAAATAAAATCAGTATAATACCCAATCCATCATTAGTAGATGCACCTTTGACGCATAACCTGGAATCAGTAGAATTGCAAAATAGCTTACTGTCTAAAGTCTAAATCCAATGAAAATTCTGCATTTTGAAGTTTAATCTACTATTTATGCTACCGTCGGACAGGTGTCTTCTGTTTGTTTGAAAGTAACCAATGATCGAGAAACAATGAAAAAAGCGTTGTCTTCCTGTTTCAACATCGAATAATTATTTGAAGATTTTACGCACACAGATACCTACAATCGGTGGAAGTGTGTATTCAGTGGCATCCCAAAGAAATTGGTCCTTATTGTCTGAAAATATAGGAAATGGAAAACACTTCATTCTTTTCCTTATGACTTACCGAATGTACCTTGGCGATAACCGGCATTCCTGGATGAAACTTGTCCCGCACCTTTGATTTTAATTACACTTGATCCAACCGGTTCTTGAAATTTTTGGTATCCATGTTTTATCACGATGAACCAACTAGAACCGAACAAATCATTAGAAAGAATAACGATTACTGCTTAGTTGTATTCCTTACACCACAAGGAGTAGAAGATAAGAGGCTACCATAATAATTTTCAGCATTGAAACCCATGTCTTCCTTGTTGTTGGCTTTTCTTCTATGGGATATTCCAAAAGCTTATCAAACGCCCATAAACGGAATCTATTCCATTTGATTCCAGTTGTTCCTAGAGAACGTGAGCAGCTACAATAAAAACATGCAGGGAAATTCTCACCATTGCTGACCATGTTTATTTGCGACGACGCCGGGAAAAGAGGAGAGAAATTTCCTTTAAAAGAACGCAACGATCATATGCGTGTTATTAGAAATTCAAGCAATTTTTTATTTTTTTATACATGGTTAGTTATAGAGTTCAACAAATTGAGGAAGAATATGTGTGTTTTAATATTTTCTTTCAAGGTTTTTGATTAAATAAATGTGGAAACCTCGGATTTAAATCCGAGAGTTATGTGTACTTCAAAAAGTGAATGAGACAGATGAGTCATCCTAGGATGTGCGGACATACAAATTATCCTGGCAAACCTTGTCTATAAACACTTGATTTCTATTGGCTACTGCTCAACCAATAGGATTTGCGGGTGAATACAGCTCAGATTTGAACTCTTCACCTTGATTTACCCTAAGAAACTCGTTTTTCCTATAACTTGATGTCTATTGGTTACTGCTCAACCAATGAGATTTCGAGGCGAATGGAACACAGATTCGAGTTCTCCACCCCAGAAAACCTCGAACTATCATCTCTGTGATCGGAAGATAGAGCTCTAATTGTAGATCACATAGAGCGTAGACGAAAACAGAACCGAATTCTGTTTAATTATCTTTGCAATAGGTGAGTTAGCTTTCTTGTTTCCTTATGTTTTATATACCATTTTGTAGCTCGTGAAATTCTCTATCGAATGGTATATAATAGTTGGGTTTTATATGACTATGATAGGAAAAGTTTTTTATGAAAGCAGAGAAGGGTCTATCTTCTCATAGGGAAAAATGACTATTTTTGCAATAACTCAGTAATGGTTCGGCCAATTATTCTCATCTTCGAACTCGACTGAGATATTGTTAAGACTAAACTGTGTAGAAAATTTCATCGCGATCGGACTCTCCTTTCAAGAGTTATCGTGTTAACGGCCGGACGGCCGGCCGGACGGACACACTGACCGATTCTAGAATGTACTCACTTTTTGAGTACACAAAAAAGGTGAATTTTATTCGATAGTCCAGAATAGTTCATTTTTCTCAACAAACACTACATTTTTTAGTGCTTTTTAATTCTTAAAAACGTATTTCATTCCGTTGGAATTATAAAAATAAGATATTCGGATTCGTCATGAAAAGCTGTGTCGCTTGCATCTATTTTAGATATATCTAACTTTTTATACTGTTGGAACCGCCAGACATTATGCCTCAAAAATATAGCTTTGTCTTTTTGAAATATTGATAGATTGAATAGAAACATTGTTCAATTCTGATTTAGGACGTCAAAAAAACATGAAATTCTGCCAGTAATTCGAACTTTTCTTCACCAAAAGTCGATCATTTTGTGATAAAATGGTAGATTCGAAATCAAGATCAAAGAAATGAGTCGATTACAGTGGCGAATCCACCATGGTGCGGTTGGGGCGGCCGCCCCTACCCAGAGAAAATCCTGGATCTGCTACTGGTCGATTAAGATACATTTCAAAGTGTTTTCTTGCATTTCATTTTTTCATGAAAGTTTTGGCCTTTTCTGGAGTCAAAATTTGCCAAAAAATTGAAGCCATAAAAAATGACAGCAAATTAGCCTGGTCGACTCATTGTTTTATGCTGATTCCGAATCTACCTTTGTATCGAAAAATCATCGAATTTTGATCAAGAAAAGTTTGAGGGTGAGTGTAAGGATAATATTGGGTTTTGGTGTTTTTATTACTGGTTTTCGATTTGTCGTATTCCTAAGAAAGAGATGTAGGACTGAAAATGTTGTGGAAGCAAATGTCCCGGGAGTAAGTATCCTGGGAGCAACTGTCCCAGATCCTAATTTCACACCCATATTAAGGACTATTAAAAAATTCATCTTTTTTTAACAAAAACTCGAAAAGAAAATATTAAAGTACATATATTCTTACTCAACTTGTCGAGCTCTATCTAACGATGTATACAAAAATGAAAAAAAAAGACTTGCTTGAGTTTTGTGTTATTCACACCTTATCTCTCATAGCAAACTTCTGACTCTTATCTATAGTCTACAAAAAAGATACGTCTTGAATGTAGATATAAGAGATGGTCCACGACTCACCCGAGCATTCGTGTAACACAAAAAATGTTGATCCCTTCCCCCCCCCCCCCCCCACTTTATTATTGTAAATGAAAGAGCATATTGGAAAACCTCTAGATCCATAATTTTAGCGTTTCTTGACTAACCCTTGAATAGAAACGAAAGAAACTCGGAAATTTCTCGGCAAAGCTCAAAAATACTTTTTTTGATTTTTTAAAATTCTTTTCTTTCTCAGTAAGTGATTATTTTTTTTGTTAAGAGCCTATTGATTTCAATCGAATAATATCTCAAAAGATAGAGCAAGTTTCGCTCTACAAAACTGTATATTTGGGTCTTCTTCAAATCCTATTTTAATATGGTTTTGGGATCTAAAACTTCTGAGGACGGTCAAAAAGAGACGTGATGAAAATTTTCTGCCGTTTCTTAGTGTTCTTATAGAAAAACCAATCAACAACGACGTGGGCCGAGTTTTACTTCTTATGGATTCGATAGAGTGGAAAAAACTGTACAAGATGGATATAAAAAAGGATTAAAAAAAATCAGCACATAGTACGTTAATTTAATCGAAAAGATAAACGAACATTACTCTTATATATAACACTTTTTTATACGATTTTCGAAATTCGTCAGTGAAATAACAAGACAATTATGGTATTCTCTAAAACTAACAAATAGTGATGTGGAAGATCTGGAATCAGTTTGTCCTGCTAGGTTAGTTAGATAGTCTATTCAATAAGATATTATATGTAAAGATGATTTCCTTTATACTTTATATATATATGTTGTGGTCAATGTTCAACACTATATGATGCCGTTTACTGTTGAAGCGTGTAATAGAAAAAGCTGTTAGGTCAATTATGGTAGGATTGAAACGTGGTAAACGATCGAGCTGTTTGCTTGCATTGTAAATGAGAGAATGTAAGGTGCGCCAAATGCAAAAATCGAGTAAAAAATTAGATTTCTTTTTTATATGTAGTTTGAGGGTGTGGGTGTGGGTGTGGGTGGGTGTGGGTGTGAGTGTGGGTGTGGGTGTGGGTGGGTGGGGGGGGGGGGGGGTGTGGGGGCGGGTGTGGGTGTGGGGTGTGGGTGTGGGTGGATGTGTGGGTGGGTGTGGGTGTGGGTGTGGGTGTGAGTGTGGGTGTGGTAGAGAAGAAAATTTACACCCACATCCACATCCACACACCCACACCCCACACTTAACATGATTTTCGAAAATTTTTAGATTTATATTCATTGCAAAATGGACAACTATTCTTCCTACATATAGTCTCATTGATGCTATAACGTAAATGTTCTATTGATTTACTAGAGTGGTATTTGTTAGGTAAATATAATAAACTAAAACTGAATGTTTTTAAGTGAATCATGCTACTCATAATGCGAGGTAACAGCAAGCATCTAGCAAAAGTCATAATTTAGTGTATTTGTTATAGAATACCGCAAGGGTGCAATTTAGCATCTTCGTAGTAGGTTCGACCCTGGCATCATACCGTTGCGCGCACTAGTGCATAAACAATGATTCGTTAAAATACTTGTATCTCAACCCATATCCTTCATGTACACGTGCTTAATCGAGTTCATATTATG